CAGAACTATTGTTTATCCCAGGGTGGGGTAGACGAGTTGACAGGAAAGGAGCATGAGGGAACATTATGAGGTACTAGAAAACTTTCTAGATCTTGATCGATGTGGTGGTTACACATGCGTATAAAAACATAAAAATGTTCTAGCTATACACTTTGGATCAATACACTTTGTGAACCCAATCCTTGAATAAAATGGAAAAGAAGTAAAATTAACCATTAACAGAGCTGAAAGCGAATTCCCGATGAGGAATCTAAAGTCTAGGAAGGGTCACACACCCTATGGAGTGTGGATCCCACGCTGACGGCCCCATCTGTTAGTCTTATGCCCTTGCCCACTAACCATCTCCTAAGAGAATGTATAGAAAGCTAGACATTCTAGTAGATAACAGGTCCTTTAAAACACAAAGAAAAGCAAAGACTGAAGTCTCAAAATTGGAGAAGACCCTAGGTGGCAACTGCTCTTAAGTAAAGATTTCTGCTCTGCTCTCACCCCAGACTTAATGATAAAATGGATCTGAAGTTGGGGTTTTAGGACAGAAATTTAGATGATACTTATATACCTAAGTGTTTGAGAAACTCTCAAGTGGAGATATTTATAATACATGAGATATACCCTTTAAAACTCTTTCAAGAGAAATATTTTAATAAATCCAATTTTTCTTAAACTTAAAAATGCTTAATTTTTTTAATATGAAATTTATTGTCAAGTTGGTTTCCATACAACACCCAGTGCTCATCCCAACAGGTGTCCTCCTTAATGCCCATCACCCACTTTCCCCTCCCTCCCACCCCCCATCAACCCTCAGTTTATTCTCAGTTTTTAAGAGTCTCTTATGGGCCCATGAAAAGATGCTCAACATCACTCCTCATCAGGGAAATACAAATCAAAACCACACTGAGATATCACCTCACACCAGTCAGAGTGGCTAAAATGAACAAATCAGGAGACTATAGATGCTGGAGAGGATGTGGAGAAATGGAAACCCTCTTGCACTGTTGGTGGGAATGCAAACTGGTGCAGCCGCTCTGGAAAAGTGTGGAGGTTCCTCAAAAAATTAAAAATAGAGGGGTGCCTGGGTGGCTCAGTCGGCTGAGCATCCGACTTCGGCTCAGGTCATGATCTCGAGGTTTGTGAGTTCGAGCCCCGCATCAGGCTCTGTGCTGACAGCTCAGAGCCCGGAGCCTGCTTCAGATTCTGTGTCTCCTCTCTCTGTCCATTCCCCGCTTGCACTCTGTCTCTATCTCTCAGAAATAAATAAATAAATGTAGAAACATTTTTAAAAAATTAAAAATAGATCTACCCTATGACCCAGCACTAACACTGCTAGGAATTTACCCAAAAAATGAGGAAATTTTTTTTTTTTACTTTTTATTTTTTATTTTTTTTTAACGTTTATTTATTATTTTTGGGACAGAGAGAGACAGAGCATGAACGGGGGAGGGGCAGAGAGAGGGAGACACAGAATCGGAAACAGGCTCCAGGCTCCGAGCCATCAGCCCAGAGCCCGACGCGGGGCTCGAACTCACGGACCGCGAGATCGTGACCTGGCTGAAGTCGGACGCTTAACCGACTGCGCCACCCAGGCGCCCCTAGGAAATTTTTAAAAACAAGTAATTCATTAAAAAATTATTTAGGGTCTATGCTTTATACTAATTGCTAAGTGTTCAGTGGTAAACAGGCAGCATTCTTGCCTGCTGGAACATAATTTTATAGATATCAATTGTGATTTTAAAGCAAAATATATGATCTTTGCAAAAATGGTCTCATAAATCTGCCTTTAGCTTATAGAATGCCACTGGAACAAATGGAAGCTAAATAACATAGCTTAAACTCTCACAAGGAGGGAAGTTTCCCCCAAGGGACATCTGGCAATGCTGGGAGACAATTTTGATTGTCGCAGCTGCTGGGAAGGGTTGTACGGGCATTTGGTGGGTAGAGGACAGGCATGCTGTCAAAACACCCCCTAATAACAAAGAATTTTTAATCCAAAACATGCCAAGGTTGAGAAACTGCTCTAGAACATGATGAGCATGAAAAATCTGTGGAAAGGAAAAGGTAAGAAAAAAAATTCTTCCAAGGAGCAATGAAAACATGATGACTGCTCAGCAATAAAATTAGGCCAATTAACTGCTGTGGGATTATAAGGGGATGAGGGGGGGCTCACATCATGTGAGAGTTTCCATAATAATGAACATGAACACTGAACTTAACTAAGTCAATTGAAAAACAGTATGTTATTATTAGCCAACAAAATTTATGAACCTTAAAAAGAGCAGAAATTAAACTGGCCTTTCTTTAAAAATCTGGCTACATATTTAAAAACACAAGTTATCCTAAGTAACCATTCTTCCCTTCATTCTTATTGTAAGAGAACCCCCATATGGTTAACCAGGCATATGGATAGAATGAAGACCTCATTTGCCAGTCCGCTTTGATGCTAGGTGCCACCATATGACTAAATCCTATCTAATGGGCTATTAGCCTAATGTTACATTGTCAAGTCAAAGTGAGTTATTTAAAAGAGAGGAGCTTACCTTCTTTTTTAACTTCCTACTAGCCGGAATGCAGATGACACGATGCCCAATCTCAGACTGTACATTTAAGGTCAACACCGTAACGATACTGGAACAACACGAGACGAGGTGAGAAGGATCCCGGACCAAGTCTGTGTAGAAAAACTCAGGAACAGCCTAAGACACTGCCTTAGTACAATACTGAGATGCACATTTTAATTTAGCACCAAGACAGCATAACTATAGAGCAAATGGGATTCCATAAGCATTTGATTGTACCTCAATGTTATCTAATAGCCTGGATAGTGGTACCTCCATCCATCATTCTATCACTTGTGCAGAAACTTTTAATGCCCATTCTCAAAATCCTAAATGACAATGTTATTGTGTACAATCATGCATTATGATAGAGTTTTTTAATCCACATTTCTTATGCATTTCTTATTCCATAGATCAAAGTAATTAGATTAGAATGTGTACAAAAAGTATCTGGATATATCTCACTATTTCTCATACTTTCTTATGAAGACTTGTTTTTTGTTTTCTTCTTTTACATTCTATTGATTGATTGATTGATTGAGGACAGAATCTGAAGCAGTCTCCAAGTTCTGAGCTGTCAGCACAGAGCCCTACACAGGGCTCAAACCCACGAACCATGAGATCATGGCCTGA